CGGGCTGGGGCGCGGGCGAGCTGGGATGGCCCCTGGGCGGGCCTTTGGGCGTCCCGAGCTGGTTTGGACCTCGAGGTGTTTTATTTATTATTTTTTAACGGTCGGGCACTCCCGAGGCTGAGCCCGAAGGGCGCCGAGGCGTTTTTAGGGGACAGGGGCAGCCGCCAGGCCCTGCGCGCCTGTGGCACGACTGCCGGGCGCCGGGCTGCCATTTTGTCACCGCGGCTGTTGTCGCTGTGGGGGGTGGGGGGAGCAGAGTCTTGCGCCATCACCCAGACGGCCCCGGACGTGGAGGCAGCAGGGAGACCCGACTCTGGGGACCACCGCCCCACTCGTTCTCTGGGCTCCGATGGGGGTTCCCACCCGTGTCAACGGCCTGAGGCTTTGCTAAAGTGTCGTGGAGGCCGTTGCACAGGGACGACCGAGATCCTCCGAGCAAGTGCTTCCCCCACCCTCATCATGCTCTCTATCTCCTCCGGTCCCTTTTCTCTCCAGTATTTCGCCCTTCATCCTGCAGGCGTTTTAGACGCCTTGGTGTTTGTTCTTTCCGCGGAACTGATAGGATGGTGTGGGGAGAAATTGTACGTGAGGTTTCTTTTTTTTGGGAGAGGGCGCGCACGCGACCCTGGTGGCCCTGACTGAAGCCAAGGACAGCAGCCGCTTCCCCGGGAGGGACGAGTTGTCTAGGCGTTGGGGAAACGCCCTCGGGGCTGGGCTCTCCAGGAAGGTAGGTTTGGCTCTGTGTTTCAGGTGGGTGTTGCAGTGCCCTGCAGGCTGCTAGGGGAGCCCCCCTCCTCTTCTCTGCCCCTCTTTTTATTAATTTCCTAGGGAAAGGTAGCTACAAAGTAAATATCCCTAAACCAAAAGGAGAAGAACAAGGTTTGCTTTTAAAGATAAGTGCTGTCTTTCTGCCGACTGTCTTTTTCTGGGTGTTGATTGCAGAGCCAGGCAAGGCATCGTCATCGTCGGTGGCATCTCTACGGGACTTTTGAAGCCTATACAGTGGTGGTTAGGCACCTCCTCGCTGGTTAAATAAATTCTGGTGTCTGCAAGGAGACTAGCTTTCATGGCAGTGTCCAGCAAAGGCTGCACAGGAAGCCAGGTTTAATTTTGACCTTTGGAATACATCGTATGATGTTTTCCAGTCTGACTTACTGCCTAATTGGGTTCAAGTAGCCTGGTATTAAACTCTAGTTTATGCAAGCCAACCAGGAATTCACAGGCAGAAAATTGGGCGCGAGCTCCGGATAGTCACGGTTAGTTGTGTTTTTGTTACTGGAGTGCCGATGATGATGGTAGTTTTGAGACTGGGGGCTGAATCCACAGTGAACATGGGTTCCGGAACCACGCAGACCTGAATTTGAATTCCCCCTCCCACAAAGATGTGAGATAAGTTAACCTGCCCCTGTGATCTCAGGTTAACCTAACCTACCTTTTTGAACCTTGGTTTCCTTACCTGGAAAATGGGAATAGTAATCCTATTTAATGAGTTAAGTGACGAAACTGGCTTGATCTAGCCCTCAAGTGCTCAGCCTATGATAATGTTATTTTCTGAGAGATGTTGGGGTGCAATGAGGCACAATTTTGAGCTTCTGTGTAGTTTATCTGTGGTTTAGAATAACAACAGTAATAATAGTTAATGCTTACATAGCACCTTACGTGCTGTGCCTAGCACAGTTCTAAGTGGATTATGCATATTAATTTAGTCCCCACAACAGCACTATGAGGTAGGTACTGTTATTATCCTTATGTTACACATAAGGAAATTGAACACAGGTTATTACAGCCAGTCTGTACTCGATGTCTACTCTCTATTGCCTCCCCTAAAGCATGCTTTTCTGTAAGATACCTTGGGGAAGAGCTGTTTTGTTTTTCTGGCTTTTAAATGGTACCACCTTATTTTAGTGAGTTTTCTGTCCTTGAAAGTTTCATTTGAAGACTAGAGACCCTCTTGGTTGAAGATATTGTGGGGGGTGGTCAGGACCAGAAGCTCTGTGGATTGTCATTTTAAGGGGCAAGCTATACATTTTGAGTTTGGTTTAGCATGTCACCTCTGGTTAGGCTGAAATGAATCTGGCCTTT